TTTATAAATTATAAATTTTTATATTTTTATGATTGATTTTATATTATTTTATATTATTACAATTTTATAATTTTATAAATTTTTATATTCTTATGATTGATTTTATATTGATTATCGATTTTATAAATTATGAATTTTTATATTTAAATTAAATTTTATTTTATTAAATTATTGATTTTATAAATTATAAATTTTTATATTTTTATGATTTTATATTATTTTATATTATTACAATTTTATAATTTTATATTATTACAAAATTAGAATCGATCGCACATCGGTCACCGAATGTTTACGAACCGTCTTACTTTGCTCTTTATTCACGCTGCGAAAATAATCCTTTGTTCATCGAGTTTGTACTTTTTTTTTTTTTTTTATTATTATTGAGTTTCGAATTACAAAGAAAATTACATTCGAATTCTAGAATTTCGAGGTGTTCCGAGTAACCTATCTACCATTATTTATTTTAAATTACGATGTTACACGTTACAATGTTTGAAGCATATCGATAAACTCGAAAACTTCGTCCTTCATAATCTATTTTAAACGAGGCTGATATCATGCGTTGCATCAAGCGATATACCCATAATTTTAGCTCATCGTCGGCGTCGCGCGTAACAATTAAATCAAAAGAACATATCTCATGTTCCATTTCCTCCGGGACCGCGTTTAATTCGACGTTTCCGGTGCTTTCGACCATGACACACCTCAAACGAGAAGCTAAACCCTTTAATGAACACATCCAGAATTGTCGTCGAGCTGAAACACGATACAGTGTAACGACTCTACTTTCTCTTGTCCCATATGGAACAACTCGAGTAATACACGCCGATTGAAAAAGAAAAAGACGAGGCCTACGACCAACCTATGTATTTATAGTGCTCACTCGCAATCAATGCAATGAAGAATAAATCGAAACAGAAAGAAAGGAAAATATCATTTGTACGATTTTATTTTCTTTTTTTTTTTTTAGTTGTAAATTATGTTTGAAATAGATTTTGTTTCTCAGTTATTTTTGACATAGGAATTCAATGGAATTTTATGTTAATCAAATTAGCCTTGTTGTAAAGTGTTTTTCTTTTTTTTTTT